GTGAGGTCATTGCACTGAGGTCATTCTCCTCCCTGTCCTTCCCCCCCCCTCGGCCCCCTCCACTCCACTGCCTGGTTTTTTTTTCCCCCTCCCCCTCAGAGTTGCTTTGTGTGGCCTCCATTGAAAGGGCCTCAGAGGCTGGCCTAGGAGGAAACAAAGCCCTTAATGGGCTGGACGGGGGCCAGGCTGCTGTACAGAGACCTCAGAGGGAGGAGGCCTCCAGATCCTCCTTTCCAGGACCTCTGTCTCCCTGCTTCGGCTGCCACAGGCCACGGCTGATACTTCCTTAGGTCCCTCAGAGTTGCTTTGTGTGGCCTCCATTGAAAGGGCCTCAGAGGCTGGCCTAGGAGGAAACAAAGCCCTTAATGGGCTGGACGGGGGCCAGGCTGCTGTACAGAGACCTCAGAGGGAGGAGGCCTCCAGATCCTCCTTTCCAGGACCTCTGTCTCCCTGCTTCGGCTGCCACAGGCCACGGCTGATACTTCCTTAGGTGGGATGGAAGGAGGGAGGAAAGGAAAGGAAGGACAGGCTGGCCGGCCGGCTGATGGGCGAGAGAGAAGGAAAGGGGTGGATGCTGTCCGGGCCACAAAGGGAAATGAGGGAGGACGGCTCACCACTTTCCAGTGGTGGACTTCCCAGCTTTCTTCTCCCAGGCAAGAAGGGATTCTGACACAGGTCAGGCAGGACGGTTTCCCAGAGGAAGGCTTAGGAACTTGGGGTCTTCCAGCAAGGGTTCAGTACCTTATTTGGGATCTTCCACTGTGTGGAGCTCGTGACAGCCCCAAACTGAAAGGGCACTCGGTGCACTGAATGATAGGGTCAAGAGCCCTCTTCTCTTGGACTGTTCAAGCTGCCTTCTTTAGGTGCTGCTGCTGCTGCCGCTGCAGTGGCGGTGGTGGTTGCACGTTTTCACTGTTAAAATGCACGTGCACCTCCCTTCCCATTTGTCCAGGCCTGAACTCACTGGTGATGGAGGGAGCTCGCCAAGGACGTGGGCCGGTTTTCCTGCGTGGGTACGTAGGTGTGGATGCCTTGCTGTCGCCTCATGGGGCAAGTGTCAGGCTAGGTGTTTGTTGACTTCTTTCATCCCCCAGCTCATCCCTTCCAACATCACACAGTCCTGTTGCACACAAACACACACACACGCACACACGCACATGGTCCGTCACCACCACCACCACCACCCTTGGCAAATCAGATTATGTCCGCTCTAATGGCTGCATTTAATGAGCCCCAACCGTCCTTTCTGGCACAACCTTGGGACGGAAACAACAACAACAACAACGAGGCTTAGACTTGGTCCAGCAGCTTCTTCTCAAGAAAAAAGGCTCTCCCCACCCCCACCCCGGTGCTGTCCTTGGTCAATTTTAGGTTCAGAGTGGCGAGCACTAGACTGAGTATTTCTCTTACCTGGAAGATTGTGAAAATACCCATTTCATATTGTTAACTTTTTGCACCCCCTTATAATCAGGAGAAGGCGGCACACATGGCACAGACACACCCAAAGTCTAATCCAAAGGACAAGCCGCCCGGACAGATTCTGCCACACCAGCCCTGGAGACGGGAGGCAGAAAGAAAGCTGATGGGCGGCCGGGGTAGTTGAGCGGCTGCCGCCAAGGCCCGTCAGCCAGGACGGGCTCCTGGGCCCTGTTTCGGCCGTTTGCCCTTACAAGGACTCTGTGCCTTGAGGCCATCCCGCTTATCAGGCTTTGGCTCCAGGCTTTTCCCGTCTGGAACCAGGGCAGTTGTCGTTTTAGGCCTGGAATGTCCCCTTGGAGGGAGGGGGGTCAGGTGGGTGCCAAGATTGGACTCTGTCCAGTCAGTCGGTTTCACCAGATGTTTCCACCTCCTCATGTCCAGATTGAGAAAAGGATCTCTATTCCTATGGACTACCTAGAGATAGAAAGAGGAGAGGACCCGCCCTTTTTCGCTATTTCAAGAGAGGCCCACGCAGGGCCCGTGAAGAGGCACACGTGCGCCTTTGGCCTCTCCGGCCAGCCGGCGCTCAGCCCCAGCTCCCTCTGCAGCACCAGGGCCTGCCTTCAAGGCCTTCTGTGACTCAGCAGGAAGATCAGAAAAGGCTGGACCAAGGCCGGAGGCTGCCCGTCCCGTCGGAATGTCTTGGGGTGTGGTGGGCGTACATGCCAGGCAGTGAGAACGCTTTGTTAAAGTGGTTGTGATTCAGCCCAGGAGGGTTGGCTTTGTGGGACAGAGATGCCCAACCGGGGGCAGGCAGAGAACTCTTTCCCCCTCCCTGCTGATGGTCTTGACAGAGATTTACAGGACCTTGACTGCATTGGTAGGAAGAAGAACCAAATAAATAGTCTCTCTCTCGCGCGCGCACGCACACACACAGGAACCCATCCTTGTGCCTGGCAGCTTTCCGGGGCTGCAGGGAGAGGCAGGACACAATTAGCTCTCTTCTGGTCTCTCAGAATAGTCCATCCTCCATCCGGGGAGATGACCGCCTGTTGCATCAGCCGGGCGCATATTTCTAGCCCTTCATCAGTGGGGCTTTCTGGCTTTTTCCTGGCTATAAAAAAGCGCCCTTCATCCTTGCAAAGGCCCCCTCTGGGTCCTTACTGGACAAGAGGGGAGGGTCCCCTGGGAGCTTCATTCAGCACTGAAGGCTCACTCCTCTGCCAGGGCCACACAGAGAAGACACAAAAGCTTTTCTCCCCCCCCCCACATCCAGGGCTTGCAAATCTCCCCCCTCCGCGCCCGCCTGCCAGTCTTATCTCTTCAAGACTGCAGGAGAGAAAGAGGTTTCTCCCTTTGCCCAGTGGGCAACCTTGACGACCAGTCCATCGGTCTGGATGGGGTGGGGCTGGGGGAGGTGATCCAGAGAGCGACAGAGTTCACCTACAGAGGCACCTACAACCCTTCCCGGGGTCACCCCTCCCTCCATGCTGCGGGTGGTGGGAGGAGTGGGGACCCCTCAGCCGTTGTAGGGAGGCCTACCCTTTCTGCAAGGACCAGCGGCGGAAGAGCTGGTGGAGAAGGTGCAGGACGCTTGACTCCGCTTCTGCACGCAAACACCCCACGGCCCTTGCTCCTTTGGGAATTCTTTTGCGCCTCCCCCCCCCCCACCAGCTCTCCATCCATCTGTGCATCCTCCACACACCTGCTTTTGCATCTCTCCTGCTGAAGTCAGGCAAGCTCACGTGAACAAAAGCAGTGTTACTTCGCAAGGTCCTGTTTTAAAAGCAAGACATGGCAAGTTCACATGTGGTGGAAAATAACTTGTTTTATTAGCGTATAAAGCAGGAGGCACAGGAATCCCCCCCCACCAGCTCTCCATCCATCTGTGCATCATCCACACACCTGCTTTTGCATCTCTCCTGCTGAAGTCAGGCAAGCTCACGTGAACAAAAGCAGTGTTACTTCGCAAGGTCCTGTTTTAAAAGCAAGACATGGCAAGTTCACATGTGGTGGAAAATAACTTGTTTTATTAGCGTATAAAGCAGGAGGCACAGGAATCCGTGTCGGGGGCACTTGTCTCTTGCACGCCAAAACAGGGCTTCCCCCCCCCCGTCACCTCCCAAACTCTGCCGTGGGCCTTGGTCGTGGGAAGGAGTGGGCACGGGGTCGTCAGGAGGGGCCTTTCTGGCGGATCTCTTGTCACCCCCTGCGGTGCTGCTTAAACAGCGGCCTCCTGCTCCGTGGGGTGGGGGGTAGGGGGGAGAAGGGTCCCCCCCCAACCCAGAAGCAGCAGATCCCCCAGCCGGCAGCTGTGGTCAGTGGAGCTGCGGCCCTCCTTCGGGTGGCCTTCAGAGATCCGCTCTCCTCCACTCACCCTCTTAGCGGGAGGACGGCAGGCCATCCCAAGGCAGAATTTGGGGCCGGCCGGTCTGGTCTCTGGGCACAGCCCCTCCTACGTCCTTGCCATGGACCTCCGAGGACAGCCGGGGGGGGGAGCAGCTCCTGAGTCCCCTGGCGCAGTAGCAGGTCCTGTGCCCTCCCACCCCTTGCTCGGCCTTGTTCAGCTTCTGCTCCTTGGTCCTCCGGCAGGGCAGGAGGTTGGTCAGCTTCCAGGAAACCACGACAGGGCTGGGTGAGGCCACTGCCTCCTCCTGGAGGAGTCATTGAGCTGTAGGCGCTTTGCCACTTCTGCCGCTGCCAGTCCGTGGGGAAGCCACCCCTTCCGCCAACCCCCAGCCCTGGATGGGAAGGGAGGCCCCGGAGCCGGCAGAGGCCTGGCCGCCAGTCCAGCAGTGCTCTCGGGGGCGGGTCGTTCCCCTCCCTTGCGTGCTCCGGGCAGGGGTCCCGCCCCGGGTGTCAGTCCCAGGGGCTGAGCTGCTCGCTTTCTCAACAGGCCCACTAGCATGCGGGGGGTGGGCGGGGGGTTGCCCTCGCCACCCACCGGGCTCCTGTGAACTTTTCTTTCCTCTTGGAAACAAAGTCTCCGAATTGGTGCCACACAGGAAGCATGGCCTGTTTGTTTGTGGGTTTTAAAGTATACATATTTTGGTAAATGTATCATTTTAAAACAACAAACAAACAGGGCATGCTTCCTGTGTGGCAACAATTTGGAGACTTTGTTTCCAAGAGGAAAGAAAAGTTCACAGGATGCAGCGGCTAGAGCACTTGCTGGCCAGTAGGCTAGAGGGGGTCCCCTCCAGTGACTAAATTTAAGGGTCTTGGGGGGGAGAAGATGCCACGAGGCAAACACAGGCCCTCTGCCCTCCTTGTGGGTCAGGCAGAGCCCACAAGCAGGAGGGGGCGACAGCCAGGAAGACAGAGCAGTCCTTCATCCCCGGGGATGGCGTGGTCGGTTTCTGCTCCCTAGTGTTAAGGATGGCTGGGCCCGTTCCAGAGCGTGAAATGTGAGAGGCGCTGGCTTTTGGGGGCCCTGCATCCCGCCCCCCAGCCCGACATGACATCCTGCTGGGATTCGGGGAAAGTGTTGCCCATGCAGGGCTTTCGGGCGTTGGTGTAAAAGGCGATGGAAACCCCCTGAACGCCACTCGCCAACACCTTTTAAAAGGTCAGAGGCAGTGAGATTTTTGCCTGTCCAAACTCCCAGAGAAGTGAACCGATGATAATGAAGGAGGACATGATTCTCTGCGATTCAGACTCCAAGGCAATCTTACTACATCCTACAAGGCACTGGAGTTGAATGATCATTTAAACGAACATGCCTAGAAAGCTACCATAGAGTGAACATTTTAAAGGGCCAAATAATCTGTCTTGGCAAAGTTTCTGATTGTCAGTTTGACGGCCGATTATGCGTTTTCCAAATGGGAAGACGGTAGCTAGGGAAGGAGGGAGGGGTGGGGTGGCAGAGAGGGGAACCAATGGCCCCGTTTGCAAGGAGCCCCGCTTGCTTCCTTGACTCAGGCCTGAGACTTAACCGCCAGGATATTTCAGTTGTCTTCTGGGGGCCACAGTGCCTCGTCAGCTTCTGCTCTGAACTTCAGGTGTTGGCCAGGCTCCAAACACAGGACTTCTTCTTCTTCAAAATGCGGCAGGACGGGAAGGGCCTCCATCTTGGCATCCTTTCCTCCTTTCAGGCAAGCCGCCTGCATGATGTCAACCGATAAGCTGTCCTTCGCGCCAAGGGCCTCTGGTCCTTTGTGATCTGGACGATCTTTCTCGGGAAGTAGGAAAATGTCTTCTCCGGTTCTTTTTGCCTCATCCTTGGGGGATGTTTGAGCTGGACCCTGGATTCCTCTCTGCACCATCTCCTCTCTCTGGAACTCTTGGGGGACGGTGGTCTTTCTGGCTATCTCTTCTGTGGAGGTGCCCCCGTATTCCACGAGGCTAGGAGGGAGGTGACCGATGCCATTCAGTTCCGGGGCCTTCGTGAAATCTGAGAAACTGGCATCTTGCTGTAAACCGTTAGTGTCAATGGCAACCTGGAGGTGATTGGTTTCTGCTGGGTCTTTGGCACTGAGGGGGGCGGCCTTTGGAACATCGGCAGAAATCTGGGATTCCCCTCTCTCCAGTGAGGCGAGAGAAGCATAATGACCCTTTTCTTCCGGGAGGCGAGTGGCCTCTCTTCCCACTGCAGAGAGCTCAGCTTCAGCACGTTCCTCAGCTGCTTTGATCAACTCTTGGTTAAACTCCAGGGCTTGTTCTACAATTTCCAGAATATCAGAGTCTTTCATGCTTTCGGCCGATACGCTCACAGTTGCCTCTGTAGATGCATCTGGGAAATCTTTGCTGCTGGGACCAGTTTCAAATAGATCTTCTTGAGTGTGATCCTGCTGAGAGATTTGCTGAAGTTCACCCAGGCGGTCTGTCAAGACTTTGGACTGGGCGGTGCTTCTCTGCTCACCGGGAGAGACATCTCCTTCCAACACAATTTCTCCCAAATCAGCCACACTGGTCAGAGGAGAGACTTTAGAGGCCTCTTCATCTTCCTTGATGCTTTCATCACTCAAGTCCAGTGTCCCGCCCTCTTCTTCCTGGGCACCTTCCTGGGGGTTCCTGGGATCCAACAGATCCTCTTGGAGAATGCTGTCTTTCTCTGCCTCCCCAGCACAATTTGGGCTCTTTTCTTCCTCATGGATCTCTGCAGTACACTTACATTCTTCTTCCACGTGGCTTCTTGGCTGGGAGGCTTCTGCTTCAGGCTGATGGTCAGATTCTTCAACCAACAGTTTAGAATCCCGTGCAGACTCCTCTCCCCTCCTGGACACTTCTCTTGTGTGTTCGTCTTTACTGTCCTGGAAAAGTCCTGACGTTTCAGAGGCTGTGTCTTCTAAATCTTGGGAAGCTGCTGGAAGCTCCTGTGAGTTGGGAGCAGTCTCAGAGTGGTGGCTGCTCTGCTCCTCTGTTCTCTCCTGTTCCTGGCCATTTTCTTGCAACAACAGGGGACTGCTCTGGCGCTCTTCCTCCAGGGCGTGCTGTGTATCTTCTGATGACCCAGAGCTGTCTTTGGTCACAGGAGGGAGCTCTGCAACCTCCTTTCTCTCTGAGAGCTGTCTCACAGCCAACATCTGCTCATCATACATATGCAAGGGGGTGTGATCTGGCAGTGTTTCCTCCAGCAGGAGCTCCTGGCTGTTTTTTCCCTCCTTTTCCAGGGTGTTCCTCTCAGAGGTGGCATTGGGGGAGGTGTCTAAAGATTCCAGGGAATCCTCAGATCCAAAATAATCACTCTGTGACGGATGGTTGTCCGGATCACTGTGGTCCTTCGCTTCAAGTCCATTGGTCGCGTTGCTGTGTGTTTCTGAAGGAGCCGATGCCTCTTGGCTGCTGTCAGGAACTGGGGTTTCTTCAACAAGGGTGGTGGGTAGACTTTGGGCCTCCTCTTTTCCCCCAGTGACACTTTGCTGCTCTGTTGCCACCAGTGTTTCAGTCCTGCAGCCTCCTTGGGCTTCAGACCACCATGGTGAGTTTTCCTCTAACCCCAAAGTACTCGTTGTGAGGTGGCCTGCCATTTCTTCTATCTCCAACCTGCCTCCTGCCGCCTCCTCTTCAGTTTCTGCAGCTTCTATGCCGATGTTCAGATCTCCTGTCATCACGGTGCCTTCAGCCACAGGAGAAACCACCGTGATGTCTTCTTCCTCCCTCTTCTGCTCTGTCGGTAGTTGGTCTTTAGAGTGGTTGGCCTTTTCTTCTTCGGTCTGCTCTTGCTCAGAATTTTCTTGTCCCAGAATGTTCTCCTCCTGCAAGGCAACGTCGGGCTGACAGGTAGCAACGTGTGGGCGGATCATCTCTAGGTCAGAGAAAGCCTCCTGTTTGTCTGTACCTTCATTTTCCAAAGGGTCCTCTTCTTCCTGGAGACCTTGATGTCCTGTCTTCTCCATTGTCTCTTCATCACCCAAAACTTCCCCTTCTCTTTGGAAATCTCCAATATTGTCCCCAACCGAGAGTCCACCCTGTTCTCCTGTATCTTCATTTCTTGCGCTGTCTTTTTCTTTGTGGAGAGTTTTGTGTCTGCTACTCTCCCCATCGGAGAAACTTTCCCCATCCATTGCATCTTCTTTTTCCAGATTATTCTCTTCTGCCTGAAGACCTTGGTATCCAATGTTCTCCACATCTGGGAATCCATCCTGTTCTACTGTATCTTCATTCCCCAAATGATTCTCTTCTTTGTTAATATCTTTGCATCCAACATTTTCCATGTCCAAGAAAATTTCTTTGTCTGTTATAACTTCATTTTCAATTTTTTCCTCAATTTCCTGTATATCTCCCTGTCCAGTATTCTCCACATCTGAAAATCCTTTCTGTTCCATTATATCTTCATTTCCCAAATTATTCTCTTCTTCGTGAACAATCTTATATCCGACAATCTCCACGGATGAGAACCCCTCCTGTTCGACTGTATCTTCCATTCCCAGATTATTTTCCTCCCGGAGATCCTTATGTTCCATATTGTCCATATCTGGGAACCTCTCCGGTTCTTCTGTATCTTCATTCCTCCAGTTATCTTCTTCTTTATGAAGAGCTGGCTGTCCGACAGTCTCCACCTCGGAGACGCTTTCCCTCTCTCTTCCATCGGTGTCTCCCAGATTATTCTCTTCCGCGGGCCCCTCTCTGTCTCTGGGGCTCTCCTCCCTTACCGTCTCCTCTTTCTCTTCCTCAGCACTCCTGCAGCCTGTCGCCCAGGCCTCACCTGCCAAGGCATTATCTTCCCTCCCTGCAGCAGAGTTTCTGTCTCTCGGGATGGTCTCTTCTGCACTGAATGCTTCAGGCCCCAAGGCATCTGGGGAGGCCGAATCGATCCCACGAAGCAGCGCATCTTGTTCCTGAAGTTTTTCCTGCTCCACCTGCAAACAGAGGAGCTCTTTACAGCCGGCTACAGATAAAGCGGTGTGGCTTAGGGGTGACAAATGGTCAACGGCGAACCCCCCTTCCTGCAGAAATTCAGCTCCCAGCATCTCTGCCTGCAAATCATCGTACTCTTCCTCCTCCTCGTTCTCTTGGGAGGGACTCCAGAGCACTCTCCTTTCCTCGTCCTCTGACAAATGAAGGGCTTCTGTGCTCACCACCTCCAGGTCCTCTACTCCACCATCCACCTCTTCCGGATGCCCTCCCGCGGCGCCTCTGTGATGGTCAGTGGGGCTGGGGCTAGGTTGCCAGCTTTCGTTCTGGGCAAGTGCCTCCTTCTCCAGATGACTCCGTGACGGCGTGCCTTGGTAAGCCTCCTCGGAGTCATCTCTCTGCTCTACACTCACCAGCGTAGGAGGTTCCTTAGTACCAGCACCCCCGGTCTGCGATGAGGGCCTTGCATCTTTGTCCAACTCCGTTTCGTCAGCAGCTGGAACAACTCCTGTGGCGATTTGTTCCCTGCTTTGCTCTTCCTTTGGCAATTCTGCTCCCAGTGGAGAAGATGATGACTCTGCATCCCAGGACACCCACAGGCCTCCTTCTCCTCCTCCTTCTCCCCCGTGCTGCTCAGGACAGGCTTCCTGGCCACCATGAACCTCGGTGGCATGTTGGGAGCCTTCGACGTCCTCTGGTCGAGCAGCCAGTTGGACGTCTCCCTTTTGGCCTTCGTGCACCTTCTGCGCAGCTTCCTCTAACGCTTCCCTGCTTGGAGACCAAGTGTCTCTGTTCTCTTCTTCCCTGGGCAATGGGTGGGTGAAAGGAGCACTGGGCTGTGCTTTGCTCACACGGAGCGCGCTGGAGTCCAGGCAAACGCCTTCCCCGTTGACTTCTTTGATTGCAGTTTCTAAGGCTTCTGTAATGAGCGGAATAGGAGAAAGCAGGTTCTGGATGGAGGTCCTTCCCGGTGGCTCTTCATTAGGCCGCTTCTCTTCCTCTTCTTCCTTTTCTTCACAAGGTTCTGCCTTCTCTCCAGTTCCCTCTGCCTCCACTGGGTTTGCGGTTCCATCATTCCTACCTTCATCTTCTTCCTGACACCTTTTTTCCACGCTTGAACCCAACTTCTCTGAGGCATCTGCGACTCTAAGACTAATGGAGTTTTGCCCTGGGGGAATTTCATGGAAGAACGACGGAGAAACCATTTCCGTTGTGGTGGCCGCGATCTGCTTGCTTTGCTGGGGGGAGCCCATCTTGAAGGGGGGGGCCTCGGAGGCTTCCTTCTGATTCAAGGCAAGGTCAACGTGCTTTGAGGGCTGGGACTGTAGGACGTCGTTGGCCTTCTGGAACTCTCGAACCCCTGCACTCCGGCAGCTCTGAGGCGGCAGCGCCCCGAGGCTGATCGCCAAGGACTCGGCTTGGTTGGTGAGCGGCCGAGGCTTTCCGCTGGCCTTCATCAGGCGGGTGGGGCTGAGCTTGAGGTCCCAGGATCCCAAATGCCCTTTGTCTAGAGACCCCCCTTGGAGCTTGCTGTGACTTGCTTCCCGTTTCGAACCTGCAGGGAGCGCACGGAGGAGGGAAGCGAGAGAAGTTGTCCACTACAGCTGTATGCCCACTAAAGAAACTCTGTTCTCTCTGCCTTGAGGCGTATGTGTGTGTGTGTGTGAGAGAGAGAGAGAGAGACAGACAGACAGACAGACAGACAGACAGAGAGACAGCCTCTGCATGCGGTGTCCTTGGTCCATGGCCACATCTGGGAACTGGAGGCAGAGTCTGCCAGCCCCATAGGTGACGTGTGCATGTGCCTTATCTCCTTCCCTCCAATCACATTTAGTTTTTTAAAAAATTACAAAACAAATGCTGACCAAAAAATTAAAACATCTAACAAACATTAAAACATATAAGAAAGAAAGTAAAAGAGAAAACTACTTAAGTTTAAATAAATGAAGTTTTGCGGGGAAACTGATGTTGGCCTGACACAAAGCCATCTCCCTTCCCTCCCTCCTTCCCTCCCACATACCTCTGAGAGCACTAGAGATTTTGAAGTCAGCGGTGGGGAGTTGCAGCCTTGTGCTTTCAGCTTCCAGAAGGGTCCTGAAATACGGAACAGGGAAGAGGTGTGATGATTGGGGTGGCATGCTTTGGGTTACAGGCTCAGAGGTCCGAGTCCTTTGGCCCCATGGGGAGGGACGCCAGCCGGCCTCCCTCCCTCGGAATTGCCCAGGCATCTCTCGGAAAGGGCAAAGGGCTTTCCTAGCTAGCCAGCCAGCTAGCCAGGGGGCCACCTGGGATGACACTGTGGCCTTCAGAAAGCCAGTGGCTTTGGAGCCCCTGGTGGAGTCCATCGGGAGGCAGACTGTGGGGCTCCCTTCTAGGCAGGCCGAGGCCATCCCCATCCAGCTGCCCACCCTGCCCCTGCCTAGCGCAGGCCTGGCTGTGGCGTGAGGGGCTTGGAACCCTGGGCAGGTGGTGGCCCCTTCCCTCCTATGGAGGGCTCGGAGCCCCTCTCAGTTGTCTCATGCTGTCCTTTTGGGCTGGCCCCCCTGGGTCTCCTTTGGGGGAGAGGAGAAAGGCGGGACGAGCCGGAGAAGAAGGGGAAAGAAGACGTGTGGGAGTGGGAGACACCCCCCCCAAATGACGACCCCAGGCTGCAGAAACACCCACACCCCTCTGAGCTTCCTTTGCTCCCCCCCCAGCCCTGCTTTTGGCAGCAGGGAGGGGGAATGGGGCCAGCTGCAAACACTGGGGCCACTTGGGTGACATCAGGGCTAGCCTGAGCTGCTGGGTGGGGTGGGGTGCCCCCCCTCTCTGGGCACACAGGGCCCCCTTTCTCATGCTAATGCTGCAGCCGCTGCTGGTGGGGGGGCTCCCCTGCCCTTCGCTTTTGTCTGGGACCATCTGGAAGGAGGCGGAAGGGGGGTGAGAGCCAGAGGCCCCATTCCCAGGGTAGGGTGTCTTTGGGGGTCGGTGGGAAAGGAAGACCATCCCTGGGGGGGAGGAGGGGGGGGCTTTGCCGAGGGCTGTAGAAGGGGAGGAGGGGGTGCCCGGCTCCTTTCCAAGGGGTCCTTTTTTAGAAACCAAGGGGGAGCTGCTCAGCTCCTTCTGCTCTTGTTGGGGAGGGAGCTTCCTGAGACAAGAAGGACCCCCTGAGGCCTGGAGCACCTTAAAGGAAAGTGTGGGGAAAGTGTGGGGAGGGTCAGGCTGGGACACCTGGGTTCAAATCCGTGCTTGGCCGCGGAAACTCCCTGGAGGGGAGCCATTTTCTAGACCTTATGTCCTCCAAGGACGGCGGTGGTGGTGGTGAAAATGGGCAGCCAAGGAATGCCCTCTGGCCTTACGTTCAGGTTGCCGTGAGTGCTACGTGACATGGCCATGCGCAGCAGCAGCAGCAGCTTCCAGACGCACCGGGGGGGGGAGAGAGATAAGTCATGAGCCGCTCTCCGTTGAATGGGCTGCCCAGGAAATGGTGTTGGTCTGGAAAGGACCAAGGACTCTTTTCCTTTGCTGTGACAACCTGCAGACCCACCAAGGGCTGCCCCTCTGAAAACCAGAGCCAGAGTGTGTCCCTTGGGGAGGGGAGGGCAAGGGTGAGCCCAGCTGCAGGCTTGCTTTGGGATGAGAAAGAGGCCCTGCAGGTGTGTGTGTGTGGGGGGCAACAGTGCCCTGCCCCCTTGCTCCAGGGGGAAGACACACACACACAGAGAGAAAGGCCAGCCAGCCAGCCAGCAGAGAACAGCTCGCTCACCTGTACGTGGCCACTTCGAGGCTGAGGGACATCTTGAGGTGCATCAGGTGCTGACGGTCCTCCAGAACCTGGGCGATCTGAACCCTCAGGGACTGCTTCTCCTCCTCCAGGGCCTCCAGGGCCAGCTGTGAAAGAAGGGAAACCACACGTCCGTCCGTCGGGGTGTGTGTGTTTTTGGCTGTGTGGTGGCCATTGCTCTGCTAGCCAGCCCCCCTCCCTCCCTCCCTCCCTCCCTCCCTCTCTCTCACACACACAGAGGAGCGTTATCTATACATCTCTCCCAGTTCTGCTTCACTCCCTCCGTGGTGGCCTTTCCTTGCAAGCACTCTTTTGCCAGACCCCTGGTGGTGGTGGGGAGCTGAGCTGCTTGCGCGTGTGTAGGCAGGCTGGCCGGGCAGGGTTCCCCCAAGATGCCTCTGCTGTGCTGCCCTCATTTGGAGGGTTATCTCTTCCTCTTTTAAAGCAGCCCCCCCCCAGAAGACAGGATGGCTGGCTGAGAAGCCCACAGCTGTGAACCTGACATGGCTGTGAGGGCTTCTGATGGTGGTTTATTCCTGGGCAATACTTTCTGCTGGACCAGTCTCCCCCCCCCCCCCCCCC